CCTGGGAGGAGATCTGAACTATGGTGTTGGCTTGGAAGACCAAGAAGCACGATTTGAAGTTGGTGTGGCAGTTCCCTCGCAAGTGCAGGTGAATGGCGTGGTGTTGACCTTGGACAGTCCCCTCCGCAGTCTTAGAGCAGCATGTGCCTTCTATAGGATTGGCCAAAGCGGGGGAAAGCAGAAATGTTTCAGCAGGCTGATGGCGCATCAACATCAGCTTGACTTGCTCATGGCCAGAGACCTTGCAGCGCAAGGCCGTGCTATGGAGCAGAGGATCGCATTGGAGCAATCAACGGCCAGAGAACCTACGGTGGAAGAGAGGAGGCAGCATGAGCTCACGCATTTGCCCTTATGCAGCCTGGTGCACCTCATGGTTGAAAATCGAGCTCGACAAGATCAACATCGGCGCACATCGAGCTCGACAAGATCAACATCGGCGCACTGGCAGGTTATGAGCAGGGATGTCCAACTATCCCCTTCGACTTTTGCTATGTGAAGGCCTCCGGGTCAGGCGCCATTGGCCATTGGAGATGAGGAGGAAGGAGGTGGTGCGCAGGCAGGATTGGAAGTAGAACGGGGAGCATTGCTTGTTGTGGCAGTCTGCTCTCAGACAGGATACTTGCTGGACCTTCCCTTGAAGTCCAAGAACCAGATGAGCCTCATTACGCACGAGCTCATGGCCTTTACTCAGGTCCTAGGCCATGAGGAGGTTCAATACTACGGCGACAACGAGCCCACATTGCGACAGATCTTGAAGCTCTTGGTGGCAGCCCCCTCATGCACTATGGGTCTCAAGACTACGAGAGGACGACGATCTATGACTCAGCTGGCAATGGATTGGTTGAGAATGCCATTCAATGGGATCAGGAGCCTGGCTACTTTGATGGAGAGCCTGGCAGAGCAGATCGAGCATCCTATCTGGAGTTGGGCTTGTGGGCACAGTGCATGGCTCATCAACAAGTTCCAGCCTTTCCATGGCTCTACCAGCTATGAGTTGGCACATGGTCGGGCCTACGAGAGCAAGCTATGCAACTTTGGAGCCTACTGCAAACCCAAGCAGGGCTTCGAGGCAGACCCCAAGTGGGGAATCTACCTGCGTGGGGAAGACCGAACTTCAGGACAATTGGGTGATTGGAGATGCCAACAGAGTCTACTTGTGCAGATCTTTGAGAAGGATGGAGCGAGCAACAAGAACCTCATGTGCTACTGTGGCTTTATATACAGCCTACAGCTGGGAGTATCAACAGAACTTTGGAGGACGCATTGTGCCATCCAAGCGCGTGGCATCGATGGTTGGCGTGCCAATGAGTCAAGCACTACCACCAAGTGGAGGGGTAGCGCCAGATGATGTGGACGCGCAGGAGATCCTCGCCTTTGCGAAGTCCTATGCTGGAAAAGAGAGGAGGCCAAAGACCGGCAGAGAAACAGTTGGCCGAGACAAGAAGAAGGACTATATGCAAGAGGATTCCTGATCGAGTTGAGGGTGACGAACCCCAATGCCATCGTCGAGAGTCGAAACCAGGCAGGTCCATCATATCCTCGACAATCTACTCCACAGCCTCCAACAACTCCCAGAACTACAGCCTACAAGACTATATGGCTCCGGAGAACATGGAGGCGGAAACCAAGCAGATGAAGATGACAGTGGAGAAGGCCACTCATATGCCGGAGGCCTCAACGCCAGAGCCCAAGAGGTTGAATGGAGAGGAGAGTTGAGACCACACAGGTGGGAGAGGACTCCTACTTCATGGATGACATCATCGGGGAGGAGGAGTGTTTGGAGCCAGGAGAATGAAGAGGAGGAGGAGGAGCCTCTCTTGATATCCCCAACGCCTTGGTCAAATGCACCTTTAGATCGAATACCTCCTGATCCACCAAAGTGGGTTGATGATTTGGCTGATGAGCTTGAGGAAAAGCGCCTGGAGAAACTTGGAGTACTGGCGCCTCGAGAAGAAACTTGATGGCCACGAGAATCTCACTACGAGGTTCGTGAGAGATTGGAGGGCCAAGCCAAGCTCAAAAGAACCAGGAGCACCGAAGCAGTTTCTTCGACGCTCGAGGTTGGTCGCTCGCGAATATGCTGTAGATCGACGAGATGATGCGCATAGTCCAGCAACAGGTGGACAAGCTTTGAGGGTGCTGCCAGCCATCTACATAAGGAGGAAGAGCATGGTGGGCCAATTTACACCCTTGGAGCATTGGACATCAAAGATGCCGCAGCCACTGGACACTTCGAGGTCAAGCGCAACCTTCCAGGCCAGAAAATTTATTCGAAAACATGGTTTGAGTACCTCGCAGACTGGTTGAAGCTGAAAGGATTCACTTTCTCCCAAATCGACCCCTGTTTGGGACGCTTGGGCCAAAAGATGGATGTTCTTGATCCAGGTGGACGATGTCATGTTTGTAAGCGAGAAAGGCTACCTGATGGACCAGTTCATCCCCGACATCAAGATGAGCTTCGAGATTGCAGAGCAGCGCTTGACTGGTCATGGCAGTTCTTTCCAGTTCTTGAGGAGGACCTAGTACGAGGAGAAGATGGGAAGAGCGAAACTCCAGAAGCTTCCATGTGGCCAAGTGTTGGAGCCTGATGGCACGGTGGAGCTCAAGCCAAGCCTGAGCTGGCAAGTTTATATCGTTCGTTGGCTATCTTTCCCAAGAGAGGCCGGACGTGTCCTACACCACCAAGGACCAGGAGTTGGCTTCAACAATAGGCAGCCTGCGAAAGCTGGGCAAGCTCATTGGCTACCTCACGGGCACGATGGGCCAATACAGTGTCTTGGAGATGAAGGAACCGGGACAAGGTTTTGTTGGCCGCACTACTGAAGCGCGATGGCTGCTGGAAACCTTTAGTGACAGAAGACCCCAATGCGTCTAGATCTCTAGACTTTCTGCTTATAGACCTCACACACACTGTTTGTGGTCTCTTGCCGGGATAATACTATATAATACATAATTAACATGTTGTATAACATATATACTATGTAACACACATGTATATGTTTGCGCTTGGTCCAAACCACCGCGGCAGGGGAAACGGCGTGGAGCTCCTGGCTTGCCCTTACCGTCCTCCATGCTGAAGAGGAGCAACTCGCGCTCCCTGAGTGCCTCAAGAGCGAGTGTCACCGGATGAGTGTTTTTCAATGTGGACCGGAACGATAAAAAACAAGAACTGTGAGGACGCGTTCTTTTTGTTGATATGTCTAGACAAAACTGCAGGATCCAATTTTCATAACATCATTTATGTGCATGTTGATGTGGTTTCTTGGGCTCAACTGGAGGGGATCCTGTCACCAAGATACCCGCATGTTTGAGCTTCCAGTCCGACCTGTTTTCGTTTCGTTGAAAAATTGGACCAGGATACGAAAAGCAGAGCTGGTGATTATGAAGGAATCCATGCAGGTGCAGCGGGAGGCATTGCATTTCGTAAGGGCTCAAAGTCACGAATTGCAGATGTGATTGATTCCCCAAGTACCGCTGAACATGGCCAGACACCACCAACATCCACCAACCATGTCATCATTGGGCGTAGGGAATACAAACACTTGCATGAGATGATCTCGACACACTTCCCAATCCCCAATTGGAGGTTCTGAGACAGGATGAATGCAACCTTCCTTTTGATGGAATTTATTGAATTTGTTGGCCTCTTTGAAGGCCATGATCTTCCAAACACGGTTGGTGGAAGAAAGACATTAACACCAAGAACCGTTTAGCCAGCGAACCCTCGTGCAGGCTTTGGCTCAAGAGACGCAAGCGAAGGGCTGGAGACACCCTGCAAGACACGCAGCGCGTTTTCGACGTTTTCGCAAGAACACACCACGACTGTGGGGACTGTGGTATACATGATTTCCGGTTGATATCCATGTGTTTGCACATCAACAAGTTCTGGGTGACTTGCACGAGCAGTCATGTTAGTGATGTGTTGTGACAGATGTCGAGAGAAATGACCTTCAAGACCCCCATCGATGCTCACGCGCCGTTTTAACGGTTGGATTCCAAAGGATTCATGGGGTTCATGACCACGAGGGTCCTTTTCTTCTTTTGCCACCTACAGTGCTACTCTCAATGAGTTGCTCCAGTGGTGTGCTGTGCTCAAAGTGAACCATCCGGATCGAAGTCCAAACAGGAATGAAAAGACGCGCTGTGCGAAGGAACCGTGTCTCCCATCTCCCCAGCACCGAGTAGTCCCACCATGCGACCTTTTGAGCAAAAGCAGGGCACAGCCACACATGGCCAAACTTTGAGCAAGAGTGAGTTGCTTTCAGAAGACCAGATGGCCCCGTCTACGGGGGTATTCCCAATGTCAGACTCACTGAAAATCATGCGGCTATGGCGACTGTGGCCTGCCTTGATGCTTTCTGCTCAGGCAGGAAGCGAGAAGCTCAACCTGCTGGGTTGGGTTGAGTGCGACTCTCTTGGGAAGTAGCAGTGTATGTAGATGACAGAGGCCACATGAGGTGGCTTTCAGAATGGGTTTGTTCATGTTTATTCTAGTGATTCTACCGCCTATACAGTCTTATTTTCAATGGTCTACCTCTTGAACCCAGGCCCAGGCACCCCCACAAAGAAGAGGCCCGGCCCAGGTCCGGTGACTTGAAACCAACACATTAGCTATTCCCGTTGACCATGGCGCCAGCAGGACCAGGACCTTGGGTCAGATTCCGGTCTCAGTACAACAATACCATTCAGTGAAGCACACATTGGGTATCATGGGGTTTGTCCCATTACCTGTAATAGCCGGTCAGCAACTATCACTATCTTCCGAGATGTCTGCCTGCAACTAAACCCATCCTCATCCACCAAATCAACCGCACCGGACTCCAACCCCCAACCGGGCTCCAAGCACTTTGCCAGGCCTTCCATTGGCCCTCAGAGCAGATCGGCGAGCGTAGCGGCGAACGCGTGCGCGCCGGGAAGCGCGCGGCCAAGTTCATCGCCTGCGGCTCGAGACCTCCAAACGTACCCCTTGAGCAGGTACTGGTACCGTTTTTTTCAAGGTCATGTGCTATTTTCTAGGGTACTTGAGGTCACGTCCAAGTACTTGCCGAGAGGCCTGGTACTGGACGAAGATACAAAGAAGGGTTGATGGAATCATGGACTGTGCGGCTCGAAAAGGGAGAGACTTCTATGGCCCAGAGGAGCGGTCTTTGCGTTTATGTTGTTTGTTGCGGAAGTCAGCAGGCGTACGCAGGCTTCCTGGTCACACATTGTGTGTTGTTTTGAAGCAGCTTGAGGTGCGATGCTCCAGTGATGTGAGATGGAGAACAGATGTCCCAAGCAGGATTCCGACCTGCCATAGTGCACCATGAAGGGCCAAAGAGATCTGTTCTGTGACCAAAGGGTACAAACAACATATATTTCTTTCAAGGGCACACAAAGAACACTCGGCATATCTTGTTACCTTGTTTGAATTTGGTCACCAAGGATGAAGGAGATGAAAAAGAACGACAACTCCACTGGCACCACTTGGGTGCTGAAACATGACTATTGAGGATTTTGAACCGAGCTCATCCAATCCCAGTGGCATTTACGGCCAGACATGCAACATGCTGATTTTTAGACCAAACACGCGTGCCACAGGTTCCGTTTGCGAGCAGGTGGTGCAGTCGAGTTTTCCCAAGCCTCACGAGCTTGATAGCATCAGGCTGGGGTCCGCCCTGGAAGGTCGTGGCGGTTCGCGAAAAGCAACTGGTTGACATAGGACTGAGGGGTACAACCGATGATTATTGTCCAAACTGGAAGAACCACTATGGACCAGGTGGCCACTGTCAAGGTCCATTCTTTTTGTTTCAGCATGATAAGCTTTGAAGACGGTTCCTTTTAACTTTTGCCTTTTCAGCTACCACAGAATACTGTGAATTTGATGTGACAAGTCTTTCTGTGTTCTGTTTCCAAGGGGAGTTCCACTGCAAAAATGCATTGTTCAAGTGTTGGCTTCCTTCGAAGTCCAGAAAGTCTATGTTCTTCTTGTGCTCGTCGCGACCTCACCAGAAGCATCAAAAGACTGAACTACCAGCGTAGCAGACAGTGCAGGGGTAGATGCTCCTCACTGCACATCGTCCTTGAAGTTGTTTCTCCTAGATATGAATTCTATATCTTCACCGATCTGAACCCTTATCCAGCAGGAAAACCTTCTCCTCAGAGGACGGGATCTTGGCGACCAAGGGATCCTGACGGAGTCGTTGCGCAATCCAAAGCCATCCTCGCTATCGATTGGAATGGATGTTCATCCAACATGGCCGCCATGGGATTTCGTTCTTTCGATTCGGTGTCTTCACCCAAAGAAAACACGTGACATGTATTCTCTTTGCAGGGCGAAGGTTCTGGATTTGCAGTGGCTGAGAATGGAAATGATGGTGATTCAATGATACTGCAAAGCCTCATCAATAGTTTACGAGAGGACAGCGAGCGACAGTGAGATTTGTTGAAACATGTTGAAACTGAATGTATGACTAATCTCATTTACTGCCTTCCATGTTATCATCACCTACAGGTGTTCTATGGTGCTTTCAGTGGAAATTGGATGAGACGAACCTCGGACCAATGACCAACCTCGTATGGAGACGGTGGGCGCTGCGAAGCTTGAGATGGTCAATGGATTAGTGAAAGGACACCATGTTGGACATTGGTCATGGGACCCCATGGTTTCAAACAGAACTTCCAATATTATATATATTATATATCATGTTGGTATTTGGAGTTGGGCGCATCGCGAAAGCACCCATCCGAATCCAAGGACCTCAGTATTACAACACCTGGCACCTCCATTACAGGTCCCTCAAAGTTCCTTCGGACTCTCTCCTGGCACAAAAAATAATACACCACGGAGCTGAGCGCGATGAGGAGCTCCATGAGCGCGATGCCAAAGGCAGTTGCGCCATGAAGCGTTTGGCCCAACTGTTTAAGCGACAAAAGCTGGAGGCCATGGTGGGTGATGGAGGTGGATGCTGTAGCAGGGCGGAGGTTTGTTGAAGCCTGAAGCCATTCGACTTGTCTCAGCAAGTGGCAATTGAGCAAGGAGTTCTGAAACCAGCAGATACATATTTTGCATGGTTGCACCATATTATGCCTTGGATTTGCATCAAACTGGAGACTGGTAATGGTGTCGATGGCAGATGCTTGTTCTACCAAGAATGTGTGCGTGGGTGTCCCTTTTTTTCGACGGAAGACACTGCCTTAATTTGTTTCGAGTTTTGTGTTGGTTGTACAATATCCTGATATATCCTGGGTTTCCAAGCCCATAGTAGCATATGTATACCATATCCATACATATATACACAATATTTTGTGGTCTTCGGGACAAAAGGCGGCAACCATTCACCATCCATGAACCGATGGTGAACAACAACAACAATAACAACATCAACAACAGCAGTAGTTTGTGATTTCTTCAAGACTCCAAGCACCCTGCGTAGTAATCTACGTACCACGTAACCCTGAACCGAATAGGGTCGTTGCAGGATTTGGCGTTTCACCGAAAACAGGTCACGCCGCTCCCCGATGGCACTGCGGAGATGAGGAGCTCGGAGTCCGTTTTCGTCCGTTGGTGTTTTCGAGAAGACTCGAGTTCGGAGTGGGCGGTTGGGGCTCATGTAATCGTCTTTGGTGGCTCTAAATACCCAAGTACACATAAAATACCATAACAAAGCTTTCCAGAAGAAAATATTTATAGGCTCCTGCTTTCTGTGATCTGGAAATCACTCTGACACTAGTGGTGTTTCACCCCAGAGCCAGTTGCAGGACTGCAAAAACAGAGCCTTTCTATGAGGAGATCAACAAGTGCCTCAGCGAATTGGCAGGGTCGGCAGTTGAGTCAGCCACATTGGGTTTGTTTGGTTCAAGAAAAGGAGCTTGGTTTGACTATCGTTTGCAAAAATGATTGAGGCTTGCCTACTGTTGATACCAATTGTCATCTTGATGTGGAATTTGAACCTTATGTTGCCTTGTGAGCAGCAAAGTATTGTTTCTTTATACTCCATAGGGCTCCAACCACATCCTCAGAAGGTTAGACCATCCAAGGTTGGAAACAGAGGTACTTGGAGCCGTAAGCGAATATAACGATCCCCAGCCCTGCACCGTTGCACGGTGACCATGATCGCCCAATCTTCGACCACTTGGGCGAAGCGACCACCCAGCTGGGCCGGGCCGATGCGATAGCTGGAAGATCCTGCTAGGGGGCTACCCAGGAGAAGTGGATGACCCAGTTGAAACCCTTTGGATGTCCTTTGTGGGAGAACAGTCTCCACTCCACGAGAACAGTCTTGACGTTCTTGGTGAACGGTCCTCAGACTTCCTCTGGAAGTCTCAGTGAATCGTCCGAACGGCCATCATAAGGGGACCCTTGGTCCTGGTATCCTGACCTGTCAGGATTCTGTAGCTCTATGTATCTCCATGTATAGCAGCAGATACATAAGTAAGATTGGATGTTCCACTTTGCAGACCTTCTAAGACCCCTCTAAACCATTATAATAGCAATGGCCTCCACTCTACTAGCGATGGCGATGGCCTCCAACCTAAACGCGACAATATTCTTGAGAATGACTAACTGACTTTCCAGGGCGTCCTGGCTGGACTATATCACTTAGGTGCACTCCTATCCGGGAGCTCCAGCCAGGACACCCAGACAGGATGCTTCTGGTATCAATGAGTAGTAGTTTTTGTAGAGCTTTTGCAGGTGTGGCTTAAGGTGATTTGTTGGTTTCCCAGGTTAAATATGTGTTCATTTTTTCCCGGTTCCTGGGCAGTAAATCCAAGTTTTTGCAGATTCAGTTTCAGTTTGAACTGGACAGCCAAGCCCCAGAGTCCCAGGAGCGAGTTGGCCTTCCACTGGAAGTCCTTCGCGTTGTGCCGCGGAGAGGGTGCGACGTCGCGAGGGAGGATAGGCTACACCAGAGGATGGAAGAAATGGAACACGAGTGTGGGAGAAGCAAAGCAACACACCATATATTTTACATATCCAGGAACATTCTGAGCGTTGTAATTGTTCTTTACAGGAGTTTCAGAGTTATCAGGGTTCCAAGCGGTGGTTGATGTCTTCGACCAATAAAGAGATTTGGTTCCATGACCTTGCAAGCGCTTTCCCATCATATCCAATCCTCATCACCCACCTTCAGCCCAGGCGGATAGCCTCCCATCGACCCCCAGGGGCTCTCAGGGTGTTGCAGCCGCCACTGACCAGCAGCTTCTATCGGAGTCCTCTTACTTGGAAATTCTTGAACGTGGTTTGATGGGTGTCAAGTCTTGAGTTGAAGATTTATAGAGACACCTGGGCTACAGACTGCGGATTGGAGAGGCCAGCAGAATACCCTTAGTCCATCGGGAATGTCGAAACCACTATTGCATACTGAAATTTTGAGAGGGAGAATAGCCGAATAGCTCAAGTTTTCCAAGACAAACAAAACACTTTGCTCGAGATGCTACACATAAAACTGTTACAGTTACACACAAAATTTGAAAATGACATCATCAGGAGCTCCAGAATTCCTCTTCTCAATATTTCAGGATCATCCGCGTCTAAGGGATGCCCGTTTCAGAAGTGGGCGAGTCTGTTAGCAAAAGCCTGGTGCTTTCTTTGAATCTACCCTCCCAACCAAACAACCAAACAGATGTAGTTATATTGACTTAATTTCAAATTTCAACTCCCACCTGTTTGTCCGGGGGCCCAGAAGAATACCAGACCAGCCCAGACCAGCCCCTTCACTTCACTGGCCACTGGCCATCGATGGAGGTGTCCACACCGCACGGAACCGAGGCAACACGCTTGTAGCGAGGTCTTCCGCTCGGATGCAGACATGGTCCACCGTGCCTTGGAAAACCAGTCATCGTGACACTTGGGAGACCAACGAGCGTGACCGAACGAGCATGACCCAAGGCCCCAGGCCGGTCGTGACCCCAAAAACATGTCTCTTGGATCAAGTTCCCACACTTGGAGACTTGGAGGAACTAGGCATGTGGAATCCTGAAGTTTTATGTTGAAAAGATTTGAAAAGGCTAATTGGGAAGTCCTATCTGGAGTTTTTGGGGACTGGTAGAGATCATGTCGATGGAGAGGAAACATGTTCGGGTACGATAAGAAGCAGGTTCGGCTTGGACTCCAAAGGGGCGACGACGTTTGTGGATGTTACGTGGTTTCTGCTCGGTTTTCTGTGGTTTCCCAGCCTTGGGACCGTGACAAAAGAATAACAAGACTTCCAGCCACCTTCCAGATACATCGAGGTCCCGCCCTCGCCCGCGTGGAAAACGGACGCGGCTTGTCCGTCCGTCTCCCATCGTCCGGACCAAGCGCGCGTCCGACTGTCGGCCGGCGACT